CCATCATGCTGGGCTGCGGCTTGTCAAACTATGAGACAGGTGTCGACTTGTGATCTTGTCCTTGGATGGGGCTCTGAAAAAGGCGCCCTACTCTTTCAGGATCCCACATACCTACAGTCATGCTCTGTGACGCTTGTCTCTTTCCACGCGCTTGCATTGATCACAACCACGGACATGATCGTTCGATAGAGAGAGACAGAAACAGAGACAGAGACAGAGAAAGAGACAGAGACAGAGACAGAGAGAGAGAGAGAGAGAGACAGACGGTTTTCCCCCTGAACAGCTGGAAGTATAGCAGGCTTCAACTCCTAGTGACTGAAGCATGGCGACCACCAACGAACCACACGCCCCAAGTTCAGCGTTAGACTTGCATCGTTGGTCAACTCAGGCATTGGAAAAACGGTTGGTGGATTCAACAATTGCCATGGGATTGGCAACAAGTAGCCGTTGACGAGATCCTCAAAGTGAAGTGTGTGACATATTTCGGGATGGAAATGTGTGCGCCTCTCTGAGTAGGGGAAACGAGCAAAGCAAAAGCTCCTTGAAGCTCACCCCAAAGCATGCGAGAGACAAGACACATATGGGCAAGCTGAGCAGATTGGCCACAAAAATGCACAGGAAATATGTTTTTCCCCGTCAGAACGGGCCCTGCCAAGACCCAGGGGGCCGAAGGCCCCCCACCGCAGACCGCGAAGCGGGGCCCCAGCATCCGGGGCTCTGAACTGAAGCGAAGAGTGGGGCGCCTTCTCCAGGAACATCGGAGGCTGACCTTTGAGCCGCCGCTTCAGCGCCGCCGCGGGCAGGTGCCACAGCCGCGCGCGCCTCGTCGGCTTCCGAGACCCGGCCGAAGGACAAGCAAAAACCAAACATGCACAAATTGTGTAAAGTCTGTGTAATTCTGAACCAAAAAAGAAAAATAATTTGAGCTTCGTATTTGAAAAAGAAAGGATAGGGAGTTGGCTGCGAGTCACGCAGGTCAGAAAACTGGTCCTGGACAGCGGCCGGTGCTGTGAGGTCATGCAACGTGGTTCTGTGCTTTTCGAAACATGCTCTTCCGCTTCGTCGATCAAAGGCAGCGAAAGCGGTCAAATTTCTCCGGCTGAATCTGAAGTCGCCTTCTCAACGCTGCTAGAAATACTCTCTCTGCTACCGACAATCTGAAGGCTTCAACAGGGGTCCCAAAATGGATTCCATGGAAACCTTGGAGGCCTCGAAAACTTGAGAGACTAGGAAGTGAACGGGACATGCACGGGGCCCAAACTAATACATAAACGCAAGGGCCCAAACTGGCTGTAACTGTGTAGCGCATATCTGACTTACATACATGCAAGGACTCAAAGTGGCTGTAACAGTGTATGTAAAATATGTCTGAAATACAGAAAGTGCAAGCAAAGTAGTGTGCACTCTTGCTCTGAGCGCGCTTTACGCTGTGAAGGTGTATACCAGGCCTTAAGGCAGCAGCAGCAGCAGCAGCAGCAACAGCTGTTGCAGAGATTGAATGGCTCGGGCATTTTGACAAAGCGACAAGGCCAGAAACAACTCAGCTCCTTTTGCGAAAAGCCAACAGGTTCACGGCATTTGCCCTCCCTCCAACAATCACGGAAGCTGTCAGGATTGGAAGTTCCACCTTCCTTTTGGCGAAGCCCCCAAACCACTTCCATGATTGCTTTGGCGGCTGGTCCAAAGTAGGGGCCCTTTTTGGCCTCTTCTTTTTTCAGGCGGCGCAAGTTGCGGCGGCACGTTCGGTCCCAAAAAGGGGGCCGCCCCCGCCGCCCCAAATCCGCTCCATGCGAGCCACTCCCGCAGCCGCCGCAGCTTGGAGCGCCCCAAGCCGGCGCCCAGAGCGTCCACCAGGCGGTCGCAGAAGCCTCGGGAGGACTTTTGGGATGGGATTTCAGTTCCCCAGGACTCCCCGGACCATGGCCCGAGGAAGCAGAGGGCGGAATAGTGGATGAGAGTGGAGTCAAGGCCAATGTCCGGTTGCGCCAGAAGCTTGGCTCGGATAGAAGAGGAAAACAGACCGGTTGTCTGGCATGTTGATTTGATCATCTTGAGGTTCAGAGTAACCGTGCAGAAACCAACAGGAGGTTTCCTCTTGAAGTGTGTAACTGGATTTCATGGACGCTTGGGAGGTCACAAAGAACCCTCGCTCTTGGACCTTGAAGAGATCGGCAACACGGCGAAGTCATGGATAGTGAACTTGCAATTGCATCGTTTTCAGTGCTGGAACCCAAAACAAGTTACAACAGAAGCTGCCTCCGGCAAGATAGATACCTGGCCAAATCGTGCTTGGAGTCCGAGAATAGGCCGACAATGTTTCAAAGTTACATGAGGATGATGCCCGAACCGCTGCATGTGCAAACTCTTCCAGGTGTTTCGACCACCAAAGTCCTGTGAGCTCCCGGCCCCGCTCCAAGCCAAGTTGCCATCAGGTCTCTCGCAGAACAACCTCAGCGTCAGCTGTCAGCTCCCACAGGTCGACAGGTCGGCTCTCGACCCCTTCCCCAAAACCCACCTCCCAAGGTCCAAGTGAATGCGAAAAAAGGTCGGAGTCAATGCGCCAAAGGTGAGTGCCACGGCCTGAAACAGCCTATGGGTCCATATGTCCTGCAGACGGAGCAATGGACATTTGTCTAGGGGTTGAAGTCTCACCGGCAGCTAGCTTTCATTATGGCCAGTTCCCCGTCATCCTTTCTCTTGGGATGTTGCCCGCTACACTGGATCAGTTCTATACAAAGTGCTCTTCCAAGGGGAACTGCCTTTGCTTCATCAAATCTCATTGGCAGTTGGGGCTCCCTCCACATGAGAACAGCTCCCAACTGCAAGGAACCAGAAAGCAAAGAGTTGTTCAAGAGCTTGGGATGCCTTCACGCTTCTCCAAGGCTTAGCTTTTCGGCCATATATGCGTCTCTCATCGCAGGCCAGAAATTGGCAATCGTCTTTGGGGTGTGTTTTAATTACCATCAATCCATTCCCAAGATGGAACCTGAAAGCCGTTCCCCCTGTGCCCACTCCTTCCAGCTTCTGTACCGAGCAAGCATTGAAGCTTCTGTGATACTCCAGGCCCACTAAAGGGATCTCCGGTAACCTGGGGCTTCTCTGAAATCGGGGCTGAGTCATGAACTTCCGGCTGGCTATCTACAAGACACCAGCCTGGTCAGGATCCCCTGAATGGGTGCAAGAAAGAAAGAAAGAAAGAAAGAAAGAAAGAAAGAAAGAGGGCAAGAAGGCAAGAAGGCAAGAAGGCAAGGAAGGCAAGGAGGCAAGAAGGCAAGAAGGCAAGAAGGCAAGAAGGCAAGAAGGCAAGAAGGCAAGAAGGCAAGAAGGCAAGAAGGCAAGAAGGCAAGAAGGCAAGAAGGCAAGAAGGCAAGAAGGCAAGAAGGCAAAAAGGCAAGAACCAAAAGAAGAACAATGGTTTGACTCCAACACGTGAACAACTGCTTCGTCCGAATCCCTTGAGGGCTTGCGGGGTCACTAGGGATGATGAGGATAGTGATGGTGACGGCGATGCTGATGCTGCTGCTGTTGCTGACGCTGATGCTGATGCAGATGCGGATACGGATGCGGATACGGATGCGGATGCTGATGCGGATGCTGATGCGGCTGCTGACGCTGATGTGGATGCTGCTGCTGATGCTGATGACGATGATGATGATCATGATGCTGATGACGATGATGACGATGATGATGATCATGATGATGATGATGATGATGATGATGATGATGATGATGATCATGATGCTGATGACGATGATGACGATGATGATGATGATGATGATGACGATGATGATGACGATGATGATGATGATGATGATGATGATGATGATGATGATGATGATGAGCCTTGCCCGAATCATTAGATCCTGAAGCCCTGTCAAAGCATTAACTTCGGTCGTCATCAGCCAAGAAGCTTCTGCGTCAAGGGCCGTGACACGATGCCATGTGCCTTGGGCAAGTCCATGAACTGGATCGATGTTGAGGACCAAGCGGAAATCAACACAGAAGCAACACGTAAAGCTTACCACTGAATGCGGACCTTTGACTCCCACAGCACTCTCATGCGAATCTGGTGCCGGTGCGAACATTCCCTCCTCTCTCTTTGCAGTGTGAGGTTCGCTGCAAACTGGGGTGTTCAAAAGGGGGCACCCAACCAGTAATCCCTAGTGGGAAACCACGGAAACCACTGCATACCAGGATGATTGATGTTGAACAGGCTTGCGCACAGCCGGCCTTTTGTCCTCCGCAAGAATTCTCGCTGTGGCCAAGCTGGTCGCTCGGGTCAAAAAAGAAGAGTCGAAGGGAATCGGAGAGCACCGGCCTCCCCCCCACCCCCAGAACAAAAAAAAACATGGCCTCGTGAAACGTGATGCCCAGTGTGCGGGATATGAATTCACCCATAGCGAGCTAGGACCAGAGTCGCTCCGTCTCGAGCTGGTCTAATGCGAGCTTCCAAAGGAGTGATGTTAACAAAAACATCTACCCGTCAGGATTTGCTTTTGATGCTTGGGCATTGGGTCTTCAGGTTCACGTGTAATATCATCTTTGCGATCATAAGGATGAAACTCGGAGAAATGCCAATCATCACTTGTCTTGAATGCTTGCACAAGGTGAGTACAGGACCGACAAATGCAATCACAGCAACTGCATCTCTGGACCGGTCCATCCTACAAGGGCAACTGGGGAGCTGTCCCCCGATTCCCTCAGCGGCCTTGCCGCCTGTGGTCACGAACCCAGAAACGCAGAAGGCAAAGCCGAAGATGTGTCGAAGCGCCTTCTCTCTTTTGGCACCTTCACAGTCAATCTTAACTGCAGAAGGCCTTCTAGTACGGCTTGCCTCGGGTGGGCGCGCCTCTAAATCCCGTCATGTCAACGTGGTGGGCCGAATAACGCCCCCTTTGCATATCCATATATATATATATATCCATATATGTATATACATATATATATATATATACATATATATATATATATCAGGTATACAACTGTAGTAACATTGCAAA